TGAAGTGACTTGCCCAGGGTCACACAGCTAGTAAGTGTCAAGTGTTTGAGGCCAGATTTGAACTCAGGTCTTCCTGAATCCAGGGCCAGTGTACCATCTAGCTGCCACCTAGGATTAAAAAATTTTTAAGAAGTTAAATGAGTTACAGGGGAAAATAGACAATAAAAGTATACTAGTGGGAGACTTCAACTTTCCCCTCTCAGAACTGGATAAGTATAACCAAAAAATAAATGAGGAGGTGAACAGAATTTTAGAAAGGTTAGATATGATAGACATCTGGAGAAAATTGAATGGGAATAGAAAAGAATATACTTTTTCTTAGTGGTACATGGCACCTACACAAAATAGGGCATAAAAACCTAACAACCCAAAAGCAGAAATATTAAATGCATTCTTTTCAGATCATAATGCAATAAAAATTATATTCAATAGAGAGCAGTGGAAAGATAGATTAAAAATTGGAAGCTAAATAGTTTAATCGTAAAGAATATGTGGGTTAAAGAACAAATCATAGAAATAACCAATAAATTTATAAAAAGGAATGACAAAAATGAAAGAACATACCAAAACTTATGGGACGCAGCCAAAATAGTACCTAGGGGAAATTTCATATCTCTAAATGCTTCTATCAATAAAATAGAGAAAGCACAGATGAATGGACTGGGCATGTAACCAAAACAAACAAACAAACTAGAAAAAGAACAAATTAAAAATCCCCAATTGAAAATCAAAGGAGAGATTAATAAAATTGAAAGCAAGAAAATCATAGAATTAATAAATAAAACTAGAAGCTGGTTTTATGAAAAACCAGCAAAATAGATAAAACATTAGTTAATTTGATTTTAAAAAGGAAATAAGAAAACCAAATTACCAGTATTAAAATTAAAGGGGTGAATTCACCACAAATGAAGAGGAATTTAAAGCAATGATTAGGAGGTATTTTGCCCAGTTATATGCCAATAAATTTGACAATCTGAGTGAAATGGATGAAAATTTACAAAAATATCTATTTCCCAGATTAACAAAAGAAAAAAAAACCCATCTTAGAAAAAGAAATTGAACAAGCCTTCAATGAATTCTCTTAAAAAAAAAACCCTAAAAATCCCTAAAAAAAAAATTCCCTAAAAAATCCCCAGGGCCAAATGGATTCCCAAGTGAATTCTGCCAAACATTTAAAGAACAATTAAACCCAATACTATATAAACTATTTGGAAAAATAGGTGAAGAAGGAATCCTACTAAATTCCTTTTATGACACAAATATGGTATTGATACTTTAACCAGGAAGAGTAAAAACAGAGAAAGAAAACTATAGATCAATCCCCCTAATAAATATTGATGCAAAAATTTAAACAAAATACTAGCAAGGAGATCATAGCAATATAATCACTAGAATCATATGACCTGGTGAGATTTATACCAGGAATATAGGGCTGCTTCAATATTAGGAAAACTATCAGCATAACTGATCACATCAATAACAATACCAGCAGAAATCATAAGGTTATCTTGATCTATGCAGAAAAAGCCTTTGACAAAATACAACAATCATTCCTATTAAAGACACTAGAGAGAGTAGGAATAAATGTAGTGTTCTTTGAAATGACAGGAAGTATCTATGTAAAATTATCAGCAAGCATTATCTGAAATGGGGATAAACTAGAATCCTTTCCAATAAGGTCACAGGTGAAGCAAGGCTGCCCATTAGTACCACTATTATTCAATATTGTACTAGAAATGTTAGCTTCAGCAATAAAAGAAGAAAAAGAAATTGAAGGAATTAGAATAGGCAATAAGGAAACAAATATCACTCTTTGCAGATGATAAGATGGTATACTTAGAGAATCCTGGAGAATCAACTGAAAAAAAAAACTAGTTGAAATAATTAACAATTTAGCAAAGTTGCAAGATATAAAATAAATCCACATAAATCATTTTTATATATTACCAACAAAGTCCAGCAGCAAGAGATAGAGAAATTCTATTTAAAATAACCATAAACAATATAAAATACTTGGGAGTCTACCTGCCAAGACAAACCCAGGAACTATATGAACACAATTACAAAACACTTCACACAAATAAAGTAAAACCTAAACAATCGGAAAAATATCAGTTGCTCACTGGTAGGCCAAGCCAATATAATAAAAATGACAATTCTACCTAAACTAAGCTACTTAATGCCATAACAACAAAACAACCAAAAATTATTTTATAGAGCCAGAAAAAAATAATAACAAAAATCATATGGAAAAACAAAAGTTCAAGAATATCAAGGGAATTAATAAAAAAAAAAAAGTGAAAGAAGGTGGGCTAGCTGTACCAGAGCTCAAACTGTATTATAAAGCAGTAATCATCTAAACAATCTGGTACTAAGAAATAGAGTGGTGGATCAGTGGAATACATTAGGTACATAATACGCTCTAATAAATGACCATGGTAATTTAGTGTTTGACAAACCCAAACATCCAAGCTATTGGGACAAGAACTCACTATTTGACAAAAACTGCTTGGAAAACAGAATGGCAAAAACTTACCAACATCTTACACCATTTACTAAGATAAGGTCAAAATGGGTACATGATTTAGACATAAAGGGTGATATCATAAGCAAATTAGGGGAGCATAGAATAGTTTATCTGTCACATCTTTGGAGAAGAGAAGAATTTATGACCAAACAAGAGACAGAGAGCATTACTAGATGTAAAATAGATAATTTTGATTATATTAAATTAAAAAAGGTTTTGCAAACAAAACCAATGCAGCAAAAATTAGAAGGAAAGCAGAAAACTTGGTAAAAATTATAGCAAGTATCTCTATTAAAGGCCTCATTTCTCAAGTATATAGAGAACTGAGTCAAATTTATAAGAATACAAGTCATTCCCCAATTGATAAATGGTCAAAGGATATGAACAGGCAGTTTTCAGATAAAGAAATCAAAGCCATCTATAGTCATGTGACAAAAATGTTCTAAATCACTATTGATTAGACAAATGCAAATTGAAACAATTCTGAGGTACCACCTCACACCTATCAGATTGGCTAATATGACAGAAAAGGAAAATGATAAATGTTGGAGGGGATTTGGAAAAACTGGGACACTAATGCACTCTTGGTAGAATTATGAACTTGTCCAATCATTCTGGAGAGCAATTTGGAACTATGCCCAAAGGGCTATAAAACTGTCCATATCTTTTGATCCAGCAATACTAGGTCTGCATCCCAAAGACATCCAAAAAAAAGGGAAAAGGACCTATTTATACAAAAATATTTACAGAAACTCTTTTTGTGGTGGCCACACACTTTTTATGTGTAGAAATTGAGGGCATGTCCATCAAGTGGGGAATGGCTGAACAAGTTGTAGCATATGACTATAATGGAATATTATTGTGCTATAAGAAATGATGAGCAGGATAATTTCAGAAAAACCTAAAAAGACTTACATGAATTGATGCAGAGTAAAGTGAGCAGAACCAAGAGAACATTGTACACAGTAACAACAATATTGTACAATGAACAACCATGAATGACTTAGCTATTCTCAGCAATTCAACAATTCAAAGGTCTCATGATGAAAAAAATACTATTCTCCTCCAGAGAAAGAACTGATGGGATATGGATATAGATAGAGGCATACTATATTTCACTTTCTTCCCTTCTTTCATTTGTTTGCTTGAGTTTTCTTCCACAAAAATTACTAGTATGGATATGTTTTATATAATTGCATATGTACAACCTATATCACATTGCTTATTGTCTAAGGGAAGGAAGAGAGGAGGGAGGGAAGGATAGAATTTGGAACTCAATACTTTAAAATGTTAAAAATTGTTCTTACATGTAATTAAGGAAAAATAAAATACTATTTAAAAAAGAGAATGAAGGAAACTTAGACCTGGAAAAGTGTGACTATATGACTCCGAGCTAAAATCGTGAAGTAGATGAAATTTGTTTTTGCTGTGCCTCCATCTCATTTCTTTCACTGTCCCTATTTCTTACTTTAATATCCCACCCTGGGCCTGCTCTCCCAAACACCCCATCCTCTGGATCCTTCCTGTACCTTGCCCTCTAGTACAAAATTGAATTTGTCTTGTGCCCCATTCCTTGAGGATTCTGATCAGGCCAGCTCACTTTTAACAAAGGAGTTTGAGCTAAAAAGTAATACCATGACTCACAAAAGTCCTCCTAAGAATGTTATTTGTATTCCTACATGTAACATGCTTGTATTTGAACTGGGTGCTTCAGGCCTTAATCCAGAGGACCATTGATGGGAATGCCCTTTGGCAGACTTTGGCAGACCAGTGGATTTGACCCCCTCAAGCAATTCCTGTCATTCAACCATCCGGGAGGATAACCTTCTGCATCACTATCAAGATCACTGATGAAGAAAGGGGCAAGCCTGAGAGATTATGGTGACCTGGATTTGGAGTCTGAGGCCCAAGATTCAAAACTAGCTCCATCCCTTGTTACCTGTGTGATAGTTCATTTACTCTGAGCCTCAGTTTCTCTATCTGTGAAGTGTGAGGTGGTCACAGCCCTATCTGATCTCCAAAGTTTTCTCTGAGCTCTCACTCTGGTTCCCATAATCCTAAATGCTACCTTCTCCCCAGCCTAGGGCCCCTTCCTTCCGTGCAACATGAGATGGATGGGGGTGGAGGGAAGGTGGAGTATCGGGAATTGGGGGGTTAATTCCCGGACAGGAATCAGCTGACCCCCGATCGCGACGCAAAAAGCACAAATGAAGTTGACTCACCCTCCAGCCTCCCCCACCCCGCTTCCCCGAAAGGAAAGGTTCAGCACAGTATTGAGCGAGCCAGATCTGCTGCTGGGGAGGCCGGCCCGCCTGCAGAGGGGCAGCCCCGACCCCTCAAGTCCCTCCCCTCCCGGAGCCCCAGCCAGTCTCCCGCTGCCACCGCCCCCTAATCGGGCAGGCAGTCCCAGGGCAGGCAGGGGAGGCCGCCACGCTCCCAGCCCCAGCCCCTCGGCTCCGCCTGCGCTCCGGCTCCGCCATGGCTCAGCCGATTGCGGTGGGCGGCTGGGACGGCGCAGGGCAACAAGAGGATGCGTTGGGAGAGGAGGAGCAATATGAGGCTTGGTCCCGGACTAAGAGTCCGGTGCAGATCCGAGTAGCCATCCAGGCGGCCGAAGAGGAGGGGGAGGAAGAGGCTGGGGCCGCTATGGGGGGCATCGGGGAAGGGGAAGACGACGGGGACTCGGCTCGCTATCTCAGCCCCGGGTGGGGCAGTGCCAGCGAAGATGAGCCTAGCCGCGGGCACAGGTACGAGAGCAGGAAAGGCCTGGAGAGGGGTACGGGGTGCTTTGGAAGGGAGAAGGGGAGGGGAGGGGGCGGTCTGGAGAACTGCATGGGCGAGAGCGCGCCAGACCGAACAGGCAGCGAGGGCTGTTCTGCACGAGGGCTCGGATTCTCCCCTCCCCAGGTTCCCTGGGGCTGGGGGAGCTAGCGCGGGGCACCCAGATCGCGCGCTCGTTGGGCGACACGCACGCAGCCTGCACCACATCCCGGCCCCTTCCCCACAGGACGGTGGGAGGGGCCCCTACAAGTCCGATGGGCCCCATCCTCGATCTACACGATCCTTTTATCGTAGACTCTGGAGGTTTTTTTTCCAGAGGGCAGCAGTCAAGACCTCTCCATCTCTGCTTCCCCAGTGGCTGGACATCGGAGGTGCAGAGTTTAGGGAGCTGTTGATGCCCTGTAAGCCAGGGCTGCCAAAAACTCCCATATCAATCATTTGGGCTGAGTCAGTCATGCCTATGGAAAAGGACACTGATGTACTAGTCCCAACTGTTACTCACTTTGTCTAGCTGTCTACACCCAAATCCACATTTTTTTTTTTAAGAGCTGAGCCCCCCCACCCCGTGCAAATAGCGTGATGAAAGAATATTGCTACCCATTATGTTCTGTGTAATCGAAGCTGTCTCTTTGCGTGTGCTCTCTGCCTCTGGCTCCCAGGCTATCTCTATCTCTGTCTCTGCCTCTCTTTCTCTGTCTCTGGCTGTCTCTCTCTTTCCCTGTCTCCCTCTCTTTGTCTCTGTCTTTGTCACCCCCACCCCAGAATGAATGATGAGAGATTTGTAGATTTCTAAGTGGCATAAGGGTAGACTCATAGAATGATTAATTCATGGCCTCTTAGCTCTGTATTTTCTAAATTCTGTCACTCTAGCATCCCCCAAGCTGTAGTGTTCAACAGCCTTAACAGTCTATACCAATCAAGCAGTCAGTTTAACATATTATCTCTTATAATATAAATTGACTCTACTCATTCTGTTTGTAGAGGAACATTGATTAGCTGTATTATCTTGGCCAAATCATATCCTTTCTCAAGGCCTCAGTTTTCTCATTTATAAAGTAAAGGAACTGAAGGCTTGATGATGTCAAAGGTGTCTTCCAGCTTTGACATTCTGTGATTTTTAGGTTTCTCAAACCTGCTGATCAGTATCTTAATTCTAGGTAAAGCCCAAGAAGTCTTTTTTTTTTTTTTTTTGCATAAGCCTGCTCTATCCCACTAAGTAGTGCCTGCCATCTGTGTCCGAACCATCTGAATTCCATTCTTCATAATACTGTTAGACTGGGTCTAGTATTCAAAGGTGCGGGACTCTTGTAGTATCAAGAGACTCTCTTTCCTATGTTTGCTCTAGGAGGCTTCAGTGTTTCAACTTCTGAGCCTTAATCATCAGTCAGGGGTCATGGTTTCAAGGCCCTCACAGGCCATGAAGTCCAGCCCAAAAGGAAAAAAGAATCCCCTCCATACCATAGCCACCAAGTGATCTTCAGTATTTTGCTTGAAGACTTCCCATTGCTTCTAAGGCAGTCCATTCTACTTTTGGATAGCTCAAATCATGAAGAATTATTTTTCCTATTATCAAGTCCAAATTGGCCTCTTTCCAACTTCCAACTATTGCTCCTGGTTCTACTCTTTGGGTCCCGGAGGATGAATTTAATCATCCTTTTTCCACATGCCAGCTATCATATTGCCCCTAAGTCTTTTCTTGTACAGGCTAAATACCTCTGGTTCTGATTCTCATAATATGAACATGGGGCCTTTAACCATTTACTATCCTCTGGGTGCTCTCCAGCTCTTCCTAAAACCTGGCACCCAGATGTGTATGCAATATAATAAATGTCTAACCAAAGCAGGGTACAGTGGGACTGTCACCTTCCTAGTCATAGCCATTATGCCCCTCAATGTTGTCTAGAATGGCATTAGCTTGTTTGGCTTCCATGTCACAGTATTCACAGAATCCCAGAATTTCAGAATTGAGTGACCCAACTGAGCAGCCGTCCAGGCTAGTTCAGACCTGAAAAAGAATCCTCTCTCCAATACGCATGACACAGAGTTAACCAGGTTTTGCTTGAAAACCACTGAGTGGCGAGGTAGGAACAGTGCAGGATTTGTAAACAGAGGGGCCAAGTTCAAATCCCTGTGTTGCTACTTATTGCCAGTGTGAACTTGGATAAATCACTTAACCACTCTGGACCTCAATTTCCACATCTGTAAAATGAGGGGGTTGACTTGAATGACCTCAGAGGTTCCTTCCAGATCTAAATCTATAATCCTAGTGAGGATTAACCCATTACCTTCTGGACAGCCTATTCCATTTTGGATAGCTTAGGAAGTTTTTGCTTACATCAGTTAGAAATTTTCCTCTTTGAAACATCCGTCCATTACTCTTAGATCTGCATTCTGTGGGAAAGAGAAAATGTCTAAGCTCTCTTCTGTGTGATACTCAAGTAATCATGGATCTGTGGCTTCACTGATCCAGGAGTGCCCTCCAGCAGTGCAGATTGTGGCCTCTCTGTACCTGCCATGCCATCTGTGCAACTCCAGTTCATATCCTCCCAAAAATTTGACCTGGGAATCAACCCAGTGTGCTGAAGACTTTCCTTACTTTTGCCCAACATCACAAGGGTAGCAGTGGAGGTCTTTGGCTGTCTACTGCACATTCTTTGCTCTTGCAACATGACCAGCCCATCTTGGAGTTTCTTATTGGTTATTGCTCCCACTCAACATATGCTTCTCCATTGCCCTATGTGTGATCCCCGTTTTTTTTGTTATTTGCAAGTAGTTGTTTTCCTCTTGTCTCATTGCCGCATAACAACACCATTGAAATGTTTGTATTGAAAAGATGAGCCTTGACTTTCATAGGAAGCTTGGCGTCAGTTAAAAAGAGCTTTGCAACTTCCCAAAAGCATTCCAGCTGGCTCTCCTCCTTTGATTCAATCGTTGTCATAACTTCTTATCCAATTCTACTGTCTTTCTGCCCCAGATATACATATTGTTAGCTGAACTTTATAGAATATCTATCTGAATCCATGTAGAAATCTGAAAAATAGATTTCCTTCATCCACTTGGACAGACTCCTTTGAATGATGACAAATCTCTTCCAAAAGTTTCTCCAATATTCTAGGGCTTGATTCAAACATCACAATGTCATCTGTGATGGAGGAGGTCCAGTGCAGAATTCAGACTGAAGAGGGATCCCTTTGGATGGTGATCCTGGCATATTTTTAAATCAGTGATTGGTATAAAGGCATAAATGTATGTTCACCTCTGGTAAGCATGCATCTCCCTGTTCTGTGCTTCACTGGATGTTTATTATCAGGTCATTGACTGGGGTTATTTCTGTTATTGAATCTTCTAATGAATTTTGAATGATCTTGATGTATATTTAAGAAACACCTTGTTGTAAAAGAGTCTACCTGTAAGGTAGTGTTTTGTTCTAGGGGTTTTTTTTTTTATAATCAACAAACAGGAAGCACAATGGGATCTTATATGTTCTACTTTCAGTTAATTATGAAATAGTAAAAATGTGACCAATTGTTGAATCTCACTTGCAAAGGTATACTTATTCCCTAATAGCACTGTTTTATGTAATGGTGTCTTTCATAAAGATTTTGTAGAGACGGGAAAGTAGACATATTGATTGGTGCTCTCTCTTTGACCTTTTTCACAAGTAATAAGGTCCAAGATTTTCCCACACCTTTGATATCTTCTCCTTAAGGTATCTTGTGTATCAGTCCCCCAATACTCTCCCAATTTCATGTAATAGCCATTCAAATAATTGAAAACTACTATCATGTCCCCACTAAGCTAAAGTTTTTTAAGCTAAAAATCCTCAGTTCCTTCAGTTGATTCTCATAATAGTAACATAAGGCCCTTCACCATCCTGGCTCCCTCTTCTTTGGTTACTCTCCAGCTTATTCATGTTCTTCTTAAAATAAAGAATCCTGAGCTAAACCTAATGTAATAGAGTGATCAGACCAATGTAGAGTTTTTTTTTAATTTCAAAAAAAATTTTATTCTGAACTTAAACAGCAAATGATGGTGATGATGATAGCAGCTAGCATTCAAGTAGAAATTTAAGATTTACAAAGCTCTTACCAAATATTAGTGGCTACTTCCCTATATATAATAGAGCAGAAAAAGAGGATTGTATGTGAAACTATAGATCTCTGTTGTGTACAATGTGCTAGAATGAGTATAGATGTCATTAGTACTATTACTTCCATATTTCTGTATGCTTTGCCTCTCTTACTTCAGGCTTATGTCACATTAACTTTCTTGGTTATTGTTTCAAACTCTTGACTCACACTGAACTTGCAGTCTCCTAAAATCCCTAGACATTCTTTTTTAATCCAATGAGTTGATATCTAGCCATGTATGCCTCCTGCCATCTTATGCTTATAAAGTTGCCATTTAGAATCCAAATATAATTCTTTACATCTATCCATCCACAAACTGTATGGTTCAGGCACACTGGCTTACTTACTGTTCCACACAGAGACATTTCCCATCTCTGTGCCTTTATGGGGGCTGTTCCCCATACCTGGAATGCTCCACCTCCTCACCTCACATTTTAGAATCCCTGGTTTCCTTCCTGACTAAGGTGAAGCACTACCTTTTATTTCAGGGGCTCTTAACTTTTTGTGTCATGGATCCCTTTGGCAATATGATAAAGCCTATGGATCTCTTCTCCAAATAATATTTTAAATGCATAAAATAAAATACGTAAGATTGCAAAGGAAACTAAAGATTAGTGAAAATAAAGATGTAATTTTTCCCATTCCAGTTCACAGACCCCTTCAAATATATCTATGTATTTTTGGGAGGTCTGTGGACCCCAAATAAAGAACCCTTTTGGATCTATGTGAGATCTTTCCTGATGCTTCTGAGTGGTAGTGATCTCTCTCCCTCCAAATTACCTTGTATTGATTGATCTTGTATGTATTTGATACAAACTTATTTAGAATCCATTTTGTCTTCCCCCCCCAAAAATAAAAGAATGTAAGCTCTTTGAGGACAGGGAATGTTTTACTTTTACACTTAGCACAGTGCCTAACATACAGCAAGCCCTTAATATATGCTTGTTGACAGATCCCTGTTAAATTTATCTTATTTGAATTGGCCACAATGTGCTAACCTGTACAAATCTTTCTTTATCTTAACCTTGTTATCCAGTGTGTTAGCTATTCTCCTAGCTTCATTTCATCTGCAAATGTGATAAGCATGTCATCTATATCTTCATTTAAATCATTGATTAAAAATATTAAATAGCACGAGATGCTTAAAGTACCATTCATCCAGCTTGTTATAATACTAGAAACTCTAAGGGAGGAAAGTGAAGTTTCATGTACCTAGAAAGGATATAGGTTAAAAGACAGCAGGATAAAAGGACAGACCACTGGTCAAGAGAGGAGACTTGCCATCTTTTGGAAAGTGATTCAGCAAACATTGATTAAACACCTACCATGTAAAAAGTACTATGCTATCAACTGGGTATACAAAGATAGATATAGAGAGATGACTGTGATCTAAATCAAGAGGAGGAATTTACAATCCATTGGTAATAATTGCTTCCATTCAAGTTGGGTAATAGTTTTTAAACATCTTTTGCTTGGAAAAATTCTACTTGATTAAAAAAATGCATCTTTCAATCTTTACCATCACTCATGCCCATCTCTTTTATTTTCTAGGTCATTGGGGTCTTTGTGGGCATTTTTCTACTAGTCTTCTAGACTCACAACCTAGGTGGCATCCTTCATTACTTATTCTCTCTAAACTCTTCTGCCTTCCCCTGTCTAATCACTGGTCAAGTCCTGTTGATTCTACCTTAGTAACATCTTTCCTTTATGCCCCCTTTTCTCCTTTGAAACTGCCCCAGCCTTGATACAGACCCTTATCACCTCGCATCTAGACAATTACAACAGCTTGCTAATTGGTCTCTCTGCCACAAGGCTTTTCTCATTCCAACTGTCCTCTACTCAGCTGCCAAAAGGATCTGCCCAAAGTGCAAATCTGACTGTCAGTCACCCCCTCCCCTTATTTATTCAATCAACTCCAGAAATTCCCTGTTACCTCCAGGATCAAGTATAAAATGCTCTTTGGCTTTGAAAGCCCTTCATACCTGACTCCTTTCTAGCTTTCCAGTCTTATTACACCATATTCCTCTCCACATACTCTGCAATCTAGTGACACCGGCTTCCTTGTTGCTGCATGCACAAGACACTCCATCTTCCAGCTTCCCACATTTCCCCAGGCTTTCTCAAATATCTAGAAGACTGTCCCTCCTCATCTCCATCTCCTAGCTGACTTTGCTCAAGTCGCAGCTAATATCTCGTCTTCTACAGGAAGTCTTTCACCATCCTCCTCAATGTTAGTGCCTTCCTTCTCAATAATGTCCAAATTTATTCTGTGTATATTTCTTGTTTGCACATAGTTGTTTACACGTTGTTACCATTAGACTATGAGAGCCTTATCAGCAGGGACTCTCTTTTGCCTTTCTTTGTATCTGCAGCATTTAGCACAAAGCCTGGCACAGAGTAGGTGCTTAATGCCTCTAAGATGCCTCTAGAGAAACACACCCACAATAGAAATAAGAGAATACATTTCCCCCCCCCATTAGCTACTTGACTTCTTAGAACTGTCTAAGAGGCAGCGTAGCACAAGAATACCTTGCTAGAGCTTCAAAGAAAGAGATTATTTTTCTAGTGCAGATATTAAAATTTTTTTTTCAAATCATGGACCTCTTTGACACTGTGGTAAAGCCTATGGACCCCTTCTCAGAATAATGTTTTTAAATGCATAAAAATAAAATATATAGGATTACAAAGTAAACAAATTATGTTGAAATAATCATGTAAATTTTTCCGTAGCTAAGTTTACACATTCCTCCTGAAATCCACTTTAAGACTCCAGGTTAAGAACCCCTATTCTAATACATAGTGTCTTGACTTGCCCAGAATACTCTGATGGGCAGAAACCCACTCTGACTTTAAGTAACTCAACATTCAGCAAAGCTTTGCAAGGGGGAGGGAAAAGGTAATGTGCAGTGTCTGGTACTGATGAGATTTAGCTGTGGCTATAGAAAACAACTTCTCATTATGTCTGGGCAGATTTTAATCACCAGCAGAGGCTAAATCCCTTTGGCACCAGAGCTTCTTCAGATAAGCCTTGGTTCCTGGTTCTCCCTACCTATTCAACCTTTACCCTCAACTCTTCAGACTCCCACCTGGTGGGCTGTTCTTTCCAGTGCCCAGTGGCACTCCCTAGGCAGTTCTCTGATGCATCTCCTGCTATATGCTGGCATATGGAATAAAGCTGACCCTAAGGGCCCTTGCAGAGAAGCTGACATAAACTCAATGGGAAGAAATCCGAACCATTGGGACGTACAACCAAAAAGGTAATCTACGATGATCGAGCACCTGGAGGACCCTTTTAGATCAGGAGACAAACAGTGGAGATAAAATGTTCAGAATGTACTAACCATCCTGTTGCATCCTTCTCACAGAGCTACCTGTCTTTCATACTACAAATAAATAACACATGGCTTTTTATCCCCATGATATTGCAGGGGAAGACATATAGCATAGATTTCCTATCCCCATTCATTAACTGAGAGTTTGTAAACCAACCCATTATTAATAATAAACTTGCATGATAACAACCGTCTTAACTTTCATTCGTACAATACCTTGCAGTTTACAAAACACATTCACATAGGTTATTTCATTTGATGCATCTCATTTGAGCCTCATATAACATTGCTTTTTGGGTCATCTGCAATTTGTGATTCTTTACAAATTGTGATCTTCCATTATTTGCAACCATATAGCTCCATTGTGCAGTATTTACTTAAATGTTCAGTGAATGTATGCTTCATTATGGAGTCTTCCAGATTGCCTGGTATAGAATAAACTCTCTGATCCCCTGTGGAAATCCTTATACAGATTGCCTGGTATAGAATAAACTCACTAATCTGTGGTTTCTCTGATCACCTTTGGAAATCCTTATAAGAGCAAGAACTATATTCTCTACGTTCTAGTCCCATGGTAAGTGTTCATTTAAGTAATAGGTTACACATTTTGATAAATAATTACACAGTTTCATCTTTAACATCCTGTAAAATCCTTGGGTGGATGCTTTCCAATTCTTGTGATTTATCTTTATCCCTGTGATTTATCCCTATCTAGTTTTTTGTCTACCAGGTGCAGACACCCTGTGCTTTTATGATTATTAGATCTGGTATAAAGAACCATAGAGGTGAAAGGGGCCTTTGAGACCATTTAATCCAGCTTCTCACCCAAACTCAAATCCTTTTTCTATTGTATCTCTGCCAAGTGTTCATGCAGCCCCCACTTGAATACCTCCATGATTAGGAGACACCCAGCTTCTTGCTTTGCCCCTCCAGCCTCTGTTTCAAAGGGGAACCTGGGAGTGGAATCTTTCCAACAACTTACCTTGCAAAGAACAAGATGTGAAATTGATATGGTCTGTTTGACTTCAGCTTTTCATTTCTTGGTCACATTTTGCATTGACATCATTGTGCTGATTCTTGAGCAGGTATCCTCCCTTTGATACACATAAAGAACATCATATTTTGATTTAGCTGGTGGTCTCCCAATTCTTTTATAGGACTGCTTCCTTTGAAGTTTATACCTGACTTGTCACACCTTTGGAGCTTCCCTTTCTACTCTTCCCTCAGGTGATTTCTGTTCTTTTTGAAAGATATAATTTCTTCATCATGATAGTTTCTTTGGCATTACCAGTCAGTCAGACAGGATTGTGTTATGCTCTTTGTTGTCTTCTCTCCACCTTTCCTCTCCCCCAACCCCCAGCTTCCAAAAGCCCAGGATTTTTTGGCTTCTTAAACTTTTTCCACTCATGAACCCCTTTAGTGCTTCTTAAACCATGGGCCTCGACACCATATACAGTTTAAGATAGCACTCATTTTTCATGGCCTTCCAATAAGGTACTTTAAAATAGTCTACAGGCTTCCTATGGATTAATGACTTTAAATTCTTCTTATAGCTTTCTTCCCTCTGTCAGTGTCCACATTTTGTCAAAAATTTCCTTTTCAAAATTGAATTGCAAAAGGTATAACTCATTTATATATGTAATTTATATAAAATAATTTTTATTGTTAAGTCATTTCAGTCATGTCTGACTCTTCATAACCCCATTTGGGGTTTCCTTGGCAAAGATACTTGAGTGGTTCACCATTTCCTTCTCCAGGTCATTTTATAGATGAGGAAACTGAGACAAACAGTATTAAGTAACTTGCCCAGTGTCACACAGCCAGTGAGTGTCTGAGGCTGGATTTGAATTCAGATCTTCCTGATTCCAAGCCCAGTCTTCTATCCACTGCACTATTTAGCTGTCCTATGTCTCATTCTGTCCCCTAAATCTATTACCTCTGTTCGGACGTGAGTAGTATGTTTTAAGATGAGGGTGTTTTTGAACATTAGGTTGAAGCATAGGTACAGACCAAATTTGAAGCAGTTCTTTTGTGAAGTCAACACATTCCAGATGTGACAAGGGCCCTGGAGTGCTAGTTTTCCAGTTCTACTTATTTAAGTTAAATATGCAGCTCCCTGGGGTACTCACTATCTACAACTGAGTCATGAGTATATAGGGGCAGATAATATTGTATCACAAATGCATCCCTTTCTAAAAAAGAAAATTTAGCACTTTAAAAACATCACCCTCACTGAGGGGCCACCCTTTCTTCAGTGACCAACTATAGAACGGTTACTAGCTTCACACATTAAGCTTTTCTTATCTGGTTTTAGTGGTACAACTACAAGCGGAGGGGAGAATGATGGTTCTGACCAGGACCAGGACTGGAAGCCACCAAGCTATGAGTTAATCTTGAAGCTGGTTGATCAGATTGAGTTCTATTTCTCGGATGAAAACCTAGAAAAAGATGCCTTCCTGCTCAAACACGTTAGAAGGAATAAGCAGGGCTATGTGAGTGTCAAGCTACTCACATCTTTCAAGAAGGTAAGACCGAATTTGAAGAAGTTGTTTCAAGGCACTCAAGGACAATTGGCTTGTTTTTCTTTTGGTTCTGACTGACTAATAATGTTCTTTGAACATTTTAAAATTGTGAATTACAAAGTCATCAACAAACATGAACATTTTCATACACAAAGAAAGCCAGAAAAGAGGGGATTGTGTGTGAAACTATGAATGTATTGCCTTAAATATATGTCTGCACATATACATATATAAACCTATTTAATAGCTAACGTTTATATAGTGCTTTAAGATTTTCAAAGTGCTTTACAAATTTTATCTCATGTTATCCTCACAACAGCCCTGAGTGGTAGGTGCTGTTATTATTTCCATTTTGCAGATAGCTGAGGCAGATAGAGGTTAAGTGACTGGCCCAGGACTATATATCTTGTAAATATCCGAGATGGCATTTGAACCCAGGTCTGCCTTCCTGACTTCAGGTCCACCATTACTTTGCTTGTCTACATCCCCTTATGAACTCCCGTCTGTCATTTATGTATCTTTAAAGGTTTCATTGATTCTCTTATTTTTTTTGGCATCACTATCACTACCCCCTAATTCTCCCTACTCTCCTGATACTGGACCCCCCAAAATAAAAGCCCTCTCTTGTAACAAGTAAGTATAGTCAAACAAAACAAATTTCTACTATATCAGATCAATAATTTTCCATCTCCATTTACTAAGGCCAGAAGAGACTATGAGTTTAAATAATAGGAGAAGGGATTTAGGTTAGCCACTATGAAATATTCCCAAATTGGAACTACAGATAATTATAAAAGGGCATTGCCAGAGTGTCACTTTGACCACAGAATAACTCTAGGAACATGGGTGTCAGGAATAAGGCTGTGTGAAGGCACAGACTAGCTGGCCTCAAGACAGTTCCAACAGTCCTAAGGTTCTGTGAAATACAAGCTCTTCAATTAGTTGGTTGTATCAGTAATCTGAGGGTTTGGAAGTAGCAGAAGGTACCCTGCAAGTTGTTATTTAATTGTTTTTCAGTTGAGTCCAACTGTTTGAGACCCCTTTTGGGGTTTTCTTGGCAAAGATACTGCAGTGGTTTGCCATTTCCTTTTCCAGGTCATTTGACAGATGTGGAAACTGAGGCAGACAGGGTTAAGTGACTTGCCCAGAGTCACACAAGCTGGCAAGGATCTGAGGCCAAATTTGAACTCAGAAAGACCCAAGAGGGTCTTCCTGACTCCAGGCCCAGCACTCCATCCATTGCACCCCTCCTAGCTCATTATGAGAAGTTTCATGAAACATAAGGTTTAAGATTTAAAGCCTAGAGGCATTCTAGTCCAATCCCCTTATTTCACAGATGAGCAACTGAAGCCTAGGAAGGTTGGTTGACCTCACTACATTGGGGTCAAGGGACAGTGCGTCCAACGTGGCTGATCAGACCACTACAAGCCCAGAAGGCTCTTTCACAGGTCAGACACAAATAGTCCCTATGAACATTTGGAGTGGAAATGTCCCTAAATTTGCGCAACCCACATTTCACCTAGTAAGGTTAAATACCTTGCCTAGAGTCACACAGACAATAAGTAGCTGAGTCAGTATTTGAAGCCAGGGCCTCTAACTCCACCACCCTGCCTCTCTTTGGGTCTCTTAAGGTCTGACTGTGGTTGAAATGGCTTCTTCTGATTGCAGTCTATCAAGAAGGGAGATGGAGAACCCCCAACAGGTGCTTCTGTCATTGTAGGTAATTTTATAGTCCTAGGAGTGGAGGTGGGAGAGGAGGAGGGGGAACCATCCCCATACATTTCAGTATAGTGAGAGAAAATGCAAAAGTAGATCTGCTGTTCCTTGGTGAGAAGTGTGCTTCCCGGTCAAGAAGGAAACAAGCTTAAAAGCTTGATGAGTCATGCAACTCAAAGATCATTTCCAAACCATCAAGTTATCTTGTGCACTTTGGCAGATTGTTTCATACCATTCAAATGCAGAGGGGGCCCTGAAGCAAAGCATTTTCTCTCCAATGGTTTCCCCCCAAAACCTAGGTCCTTTGTCCCATTCCATATTTCTGAGCTCTAATTTGAGGCATTCTGATCTCACTTGAAATGTTGCAAGGAAACCCTAGAGAACTTTTGGACTAAATATAAGAGTCCTGGAGGTATCCGTGAGCACAGAGAAGGAGAATCAGATTGCATTTGGGATAAGTCTTTTTTGGGAATCCTTTTTTCTGTTTTAAATTTTAAAATCTCTGAGTTCTCTCACTTTAATGCTTCTTTACTTAGCATCCTTAATTGTAACTCGTGAGGAAGTATGGTACCTACCTCCTGACAAAGAGGTGGTGCAGTCATTGTGTAGATTGAGACACGTATTTTTTTGGACATGACCAGTGTGACAATTTGTTTTGTTTGACTATGCATATTTGTTTAAAAGGCTTTTGTTTTTCTTTTTTACCAGTTTTAATGATGCCACATATATTTAAGGGTGATGGTTCTAAGAAAGAGTGGGTGAGAATACCTAGGAAAGCTTGACCAGTGGCTATTTAGAAAAACAACAGCAACAGTAACAACCATAGTTTCTTCCTTAAGATGAAGTATGTGTAAAGAGTGTGCTCTTATCTCAAGCCCAAGGGGGTTGGTGGAGTATGTTGTTCCAAGGCCCAAAGGACTTCTTTTTAGTGGGAATTTGGTTGATTGGTGATATATACGGTTTATTCTTCTTAGGACCCTTCGCTAGGCGGGAAAGAGAAAAAATAGATTTTTATTAATTCAAAAAATTTAAATTAAAAAATAATATCCTTAGTTGTAGAAATATTTTTGTTGTTGTTCAGTCATTTTCAGTTATGTCTGACTCTTTGTGACACCTTTTGAGTTTTTCTTGGCAAATCTATTAGAGTGGTTTGCCATTTCCTTCCCCAGCTCATTTTACAGATAAGGAAACTGAGGCAAACAGGGTTAAGTGACTTGCCCAGGGTCACATAGCTAGTAAGTGTCTGAGGCCAGATTTGAATTCAGGAAGATGAGTTGTCCTGATATAGCTAGATCTAATTGGTGTAGGATTGATAAGTCTGAAGGAGTAGTTAAATAAGGCAATTTCAAATTTGCCTTTTCCAGGTGAAACACCTTACTCGGGACTGGAGAACCACAGCCTATGCCTTGAAGTATTCGGAGACCCTAGAGTTGAATGAGGATCATCGGAAGGTGAGGAGGATTACACCTGTTCCTTTCTTTCCTGTTGAAAATCAACCCAGTAGGATGCTACTGGTCTATGACCTCCACTTGTTCCCCAAGCCATGGGCTCTGGCTGTGCTTCAGGAGAATGGAAGGCTGCAGGAGAAGGTCATGGAGCATCTTCTTAAGATCTTTGGAACATTTGGAGTCATCTCATCTGTACGAATTCTCAAGCCAGGGAAAGAGTTGCCTCCAGACATCCGGAAGTTTAGCAGTCGGTACAGTCAAGTAGGAACTCAAGTGTGTGCAATTGTGGAGTTTGAAGAGGTAGATGCTGCCATCAGGGCCCATGAGTCCATGAGCATGGGATCTCCGAGCAAAGGCAGCATTAAAGTTGTCCTCATTGGTATGAAAGCACCCAAGAAGAAAGCACCAAAAGATAAGAACCAGGAGGAGGAACCTGCCATGAACTTCCACCAAAATAAGACCCTAAATAAGAGAGTGGAGGAGCTTCAGTACCTGGGTGATGAGTCATCAGCCAATAGCTCCTCAGACCCAGAGAGTAATCCAACATCCCCCATGGTGGAGCGACGGTACGTGGCCTCTAGCAGGCTTAGTCCTTCCATCTATCAAAACCATCACCTGAGTCCAAATGCCTCCCCTCGCTCAAGTCCTTGGAACAGCCCTCTGGTGCAGCGTAAAGGAGTGTCCAAGAAATCTCCACTGGCTGAGGATGTCACGCTGAACTCTAGTGCCAGCCCTGAGATTGTTCAGAAGTGTGTGGATTATTCTTCGGACAGCAGCATCACTCCCTCCAGTAGCCCCTGGGTGCAGAGACGTCGACTAGCCCAGTGGGGAACACGTGAGAAAAGTCCGGCCGCCAGTCCACTGCTTACCCGAAAAGTCCAGAATGCAGATGGGTCACCTGTGGGGGTACTGAGGTTGCCAAGAGGCCCTGATGACACCAAAGGATTTCATGGAGGGTACGAAAGAAAAAGGGTCTTTGTCTAAACGTAGTTCACCGTCAGTACCAGCTCCATAGAAAAACTACCTTTATTTTCCTGGGTCCAACAAAACAGCTGGTATGATCAAGGACTGTCTCAAGTACAAGTTTCAATGCTTGTATTGGTGTAAATTTCTTAATTTATATATTTGTATTGGCAGGCAACTACATTTTAAAGAATGTCTCCTAGTCCCAGACAACCATTTATCCTGGTGTGGTCACTTTGCTAATGCCACATATATGTAAACATAATGGTACTAAACAGGAATGGGAGAGACTCTCTAGGAAAGAGGGAATAGATACTTTTTTTCTGCTTTTGTTTTTTTTTTTTTTTAAATAAACCTCCTTTGAGATAGGGTATGTGTAGAGATTTGCTACCATTTGGAGTCCAAGGAGGCTAGTGCGGGTGTGGCTCAAAGACCACAAGTTTTTAATGACAACCTAGTTGACTGATGACATACATGGTTTAACTCTCCTATAGTCAAGTCAATAAACATTTATTAATTGCCCACTGTGTGCCAGGCACTGTGCTAAGTACTGATCTTTTAAGATCAAAACAAAAATGTATATTTTCTCTTATAAGTGAATGAAAAGGAAAAATATAGGAATAATTGGCCCTAGGGTCCCAGATTCATCTTGGCCCATTGGTATGAGGAGCTGGCCTATCATTTGGAATCAATAAATTGGCTATCTGGTCCCAGTGGAAGAGGAGGGACTAAATAGGAGAATCATTGATTCAAAAGCATGGCCAATAGGTCACAATGAAACAGGCTTAACTTTCTCAGATTCCTTCCCCAATTTCATTAAATAACTGAAAGGAGGAAAAGCAATGATTTTATGTGAGTGAAGCTTATTACTATAATTATTTGACAGATTTTTTCATTTTCTTCAGCAGAAGAGATTTTGTGGAAGTGAAGAGTTACTGTTTATTCTTGTACTGTTTGACCTCCAGGGCAAACTGGTTGGGGTCCAGCACTAGAGATCCATTCAAAAGTAGATTTCAGGTTCCTTTAATACACCTTCTATTTTCAAGGGGACAAAAGGGGAAGGATTTATCTTTCACAAACTATGTCCCTGAGTTCACTGGCCCCTTGCTCCTACAATCTCATTGACTTCCCCAATCAACCAATGATTCCTCATGTTCCTGCACTGTGCGCGCGCGCGCACACACACACACACACACACACCCCCACACACCCAGAGGAACACAATTGGACCTTACTGCAAGGTGGAGAAACTCCAAGGTAAAAGTTTCTAGAGTTAATATTTGCTATGGTGTCAGATTACCTGATGCAGCATAGCATCCAGTTACTCTGTATTAAGTAGTCTTCTCCAGGCATAGCTTGCTGGCCATCTACTTGTTAAAATCCTTGGGTTCTTTCCAGCTTATGACAAAGTCTTCCTTTTGCATTTTTCCCAAAGCTAGGCAAGCTGGGTCTTATGTCTTGGAAATGTTGTGCCATCCTCTCCTTGTTTCTCTCTTCTTCCTTTCTCCCAGAATGTTTACACGCTATCCTTCTCCTTCTGTAATGGCACTTGTCCTTGCTTCCACACAATAAACTAAAAATGTCCAGGTCACCTTCCCAGTCAGTCTGCTCTTTCCTAAACTCTGGCTAAACCCTCAGCTGTGGCACAGCCTTACTGTTTGTTAGCATAGCAAACCCTTCCCGAAAAGCTTGGCCGGGAAACCCAGCCCAGAGTGTTTTTACAGATGTTTTGTTGATTTTAATGAAAGCCAGAACCTACTTCACTCTGCAACATGAAACTCTGACCGCTAAGACAGGATTTAACCAAAGGCTAATCTTCAGGGAAATAGCCCCAAACACCAAATCCACTTCTTATACATAAGCTCAGCATACTTCAGGTGACATTCTGTCACCTAAAGGTGTGACTGGGTCAGAAAGGCCTTGATTTGGTCTGTATAATACAAGTGTCAAAAATATGAGATTTACTTTTTTAAGCTACAATATTAATTATTTGAGTATTTTGTATATAAGCATTTTCCAAGGTATGAATTAGGTGTCCCTTGTCTTTTTGAGCTGCTAATTTAGAGGAGAATAATTTGACAGAAAAGTCATGTAGAGAAGGACTGCATGATATAATGCTAATCTTACAGAATCATAGACCTAGAACTGAAAGCAAACACTCCCCTCATTTTATAGAGAATGAAACTGAGGCTCAGGCAGGTGAAATAATTTGCCCATAACCATACAAAGATTAAATGTTAAAGTCTTGATTTGAATGAAAGTCCTCTAACTATAGGGGAAGCTAAACAGTGCAAGGGAGAGAGCACTGCCCTGAAGTCAGGAAGATCAGGGTTCTAATCTGGCCTCAGCTGCTTGCTAGCTGTGTGACCCTGGGCAAGTCACTTAACTCCTTTTTGCCTCAGTTCTTCATCTCTAAAATGGGCACATATTGGAGAAGGAAATAGCAAACCACTCTAGTGTCTTTGCCAAGAAAACCCCATGGACAAGTTCATGGGGTCACAAAGAGTCAGACACAACTGAACAAAATCAACAACAACCTCTTAACTATAAAGCACTTTCTGTTTTACCATACAAAAATCACTTAAAGTCAAAGGATATGGTTTTTATATCTAGATTCTGACACTTACTGCTGGGTGAGCCAAGACAAGTCTCAACCTCATCAAGTCTCAGAAAACTCTGTAAGACTTATCTACTAAGGTAAAGATGAGTTTCAAACTGCCTTAATGGAGTATATATATATTAGGGAAATTACAGGTGCTTGACATATTGACATGTGGGAGTATGCTGAAACCAGCTCATAAGTTCCTGAGAGCCAATTGTTAAATTTTCTGTGAGCGTTTATACCTCAGAAATTGGCAGACTACAAATAAGGCTTCATTTATTGTTTGTCTCAACTTAAGAAAGTGGCAGTGAAAATATTAATAATGCAGATTAAATTTAAAAATGTATTCTGTGTACTTTTTCTGGAGAACTGGTTGTTATACATTTACCTGTATGTACAGTTATATCCGCTTGTAGCGGCACAGTGGGCCTGAAGTCAGGAAGACTCATCTTTGTGAGTTCAAATCCAGCCTCAGATGCTTACCAGTATATGACCCTGGCCAAGTTTCTTCATCTGTCAAATAAGCTGGAGAAGGAAATAGCAAACCACTCCAGTATCTTTGCCAAGAAAACCCCAAATGGAGTCATGAAGAGTCGGGCATGACTGAACAACAACAGCAGTTATATAATGTAGTTTCAGACTTTGAGGAATTGATTTTCAAAAAGAAAAACTATGTAGATAGTGATCACACACAAAAAAAAAATCAAAAGAATAATAACCACCACTTCTATTCCCATTAGAAAGAGTTCATTCCTAATGTAACCAAAGTTCACTTTTTTTATTTTGGTGTGGCTAATGTGAATTTGGACAGCAGTTTCCCCCATGCTTGATCAACCCTGGTTAAGTTTATCCCTGAGGTACCATATTGTTAATGTTATAAGACTAAACCTTGTATCCTAGAGCAGTGGCTATGACCTTGAGATCTTTGCCCCTAAATTCCCAAACTACAAATTCTATTGAACTTTGTTCTGCAAAGAATATAAACCCTTCTATGTCGTGTCTTACTGGTCCTCCTGATTTTTCATTGAGAGGTTTTGATTTAATATCCTAGAGTATTAGATTGTCTAAGAAAGGAAATACAGAGATTACCAGTCCCCTCATGTTACAGGTGAGGAAACTGAGGCCTAGAAAGACTTTCCCAAGATGGGACCAGGTTACAAGCCTCTTACTCCTCACTTTGGTACTTTTCCCACAATAGTAGGATAGGAGAGAATGAAAACTAGTAGGCCCACAAGGCATAATAAGGTGAATCAGTAGCTCGTTAGGGAGACAATGTGGTATATAGTGGGAAATAGCACTGGATTTGGAATCAGGATCTTTGGTTCAAATTCCAGCTCTACCACTAATTTGTGTGGCCTTTAGTTTCCTCATCCGTAAAATGAGGGCATTGGATTAGATGGCCTCTGGGGCCCCTCCCAACTCTCAATCTGTGACTCTCTGTTAGAATCCCAAGCTTCTGCCTCCATGTTCTCTAATAATTTGTAGTGCAAACTCTGCCCATTGACAGTTATTTTTCTTACTTCTAAATAGGTAGTCAAGATCACCCTCAAAATATCATTTCAGCTATATTAACAAAACACAGGTCCTTAATTTGCCTTATTTAAAGGTGCAGTACCTATTTTTTGCCGTGGCAGTTGTGTTGTTCTATGAGAAGCAGTGGGAGACTCAGGAATCCCAATACCCTGCCAGCCACCAATTTCACCGCTGCACTTGTAGGTCATGCTACACACATCAGTCACAAGGATGGGGTTCAGTCCAACCATGATTCAGTTCCCAGTTCTGTTATTCATTCCTTGTATGACATAACCTCTCTGAGCCTCATTTTCAGCTGTAAAATAAAGTGATGTGACTCAGGCTCTTCCAGCTTTAAATTTGTGATACAGGGATTCTTTTTTTCCCTCAAAAAACTAAATATGCAGTTTCTTAAATAGCACTTATATTCATAAATATAGCATTAATGAATATCTTTCTATGATATTCATAAATACTATTTGAAGAATTAAAACAAGAATTTAAAGAAATGTGAATCCTAGATATTCGGAAATACTTGAATATGTTTTTCTGTTGCTGTTTAAGAGATGGGCAGCTAGGTGTCACAGTGGATAGAGTGCTATACCTGGAGTCAGGGAGATTCATCTTCCTGAGTTCAAATCTGGCCTCAGACACTTACTGGCTGTGTGACACCCGGGCAAGTCACTTTACCCTAGTTGCCTCAGTTTCCTCATCTGTAAAATGAGCTGGAGAAGGAAATGGCAAACCACTCCATTATCTTTGCCAAGAAAACCCCAAGTGGGGTCACGATGAGTCAGACATGGCTGTAAACAACTGACCTGAACAACAACAAGAGTGTATGGGATAGGGATTAGATCTATTATTTCATTGACATGGGGAACTGCAAGGTAAAGAAAGTCCCTCTACCAGTACAGGTAGATACCTTGTCTTTGACTTATTGTCTTAAGAGAATTGCTTAGGGCACTGAGTTCCAAGGCCTACTCTCTATCTACTATGCCATGTTGCTTCTCAGTTCATCTTTCAACTGAAATTTGCTTTAGTCTAGGGTTGCAAACCTGTATTTGCTTTTGCTGGTGTATCTAAAGTCTCCAGAATTGCCTGTATACTAGCAGGAACTTTGGTAGATTTCACATACCTGACTTCCTTCATCTCCTGGTAGCTTGAAATGTCAGAGGTCTCTGACAGAGGTAAAGGTGGGTAAATGCCCTACCTTGGTTGGGCACAAACATCAGGACTTGGCTGCAGTGTTGTATGATTCGTAATAATAGGTAAGTCTAGACAGGCTAGCAAGCTCCTGTTGCCACTTTTTGTGGCACAGAAGAATCCAGCTAGTTCTCTGATTCTGATTCACCTGAGGCTGGGTAATATTATCGGTTAGGACACTTCCTATTCCTGTATCTGCCTTCCATGACAGAAGGAATTAACAACTGGCTGCTCAGCACATCTGGAATATGTATGTATGTGGATATGTGGAAAGTATGTGTGTGTTTGAGGGTGGAACCTTATTTGGCAATATACTTTGATTTCCAGTTAGTGTAGTAATTCCTAGCTGAGAAGCTGTTTTCACAAGTACCCCTAGATCTGGGATCAGTCACATGATCTGGAGAGCTTGAGAAATAGATGTAGTGTGTGCAAAGTCATAATTGTGGAATTTCAGAGCTGGAAGGGACCTTAGAGATACTCTAGGTCAAAGGTTCTTGATATTTTTTGTGTTATGGCTCCCTTTGGCAATCTGTTGAATCATATGGACACCTTCTCAGAATAACACAGTTTTAATAATAATTAAAGAAAATGTGGAATCCCACTTAGAGGTTAGTGAAAATAAATATGTAATATTTTTTCATCCAAGTTCACAAATCTCCCCAAAAGTCTATTCATGGACTCCAGGTTAAGAACCTCTTCTCTAGGCTGCTACTGTTGTAAAGAAAGGTTTTTAAAATAGATTTTTGGGCTATATTTTGTTTGTTATCAGCTGGATTTTCATCTGTGTCCTCCCTCCTAGATCACAGAGCCATCCCTTTTAGCAAAGAATTTTATTTTAAAATAAGAAAAGAAATCTATTAGTGACAGTCAACATATATTAGATACAATGCTATATGCCAGTGGATCCCCCACGTCTACAAAAGAGCCAGAGGAGATACCTTGTCGTATCTCTTCTAGCTGCATTTGTTCCTGATAATTTCACAACATTCAATCTCACATGCTTTGTGGTTGTTATTTCCATTTACACTGTTGTAGTCATTGTAGAAAGGTAAGGTTTTTGCAAGTGATAAAGTTATCACATTAATGTGAACTATTATTTAATCCAATGCCTTAATACCTGCCCAGGACAATAGGATGGAATGGAATGGGATGGAATGGGATGAAATAAGATGAGATGTGATGGGGTTGAATGGGACTGGACCTAAACTTCCTTTACTGATGCAGCCAGATGCCTCCTTTGAAATTTACAATCCTAAAAGGTTACCTGGGACAGTACACCTTGTGAAACACTATAAACAGACCATATATTAAGTTCAAACTTGAATTCTCAACCCTGGGGTTGTTTTCCTCATGTAAAACTAACCCAAATGTTAAATGTTTTCAACGGTCACATCATGTTAGCCTTATGTAGCTATGTTTATACCTTGAAAACTGATTACTTGCTTTTTCTGCTCCCCCTGGTGTCCTAATTGTAGCAGTTTGTACCCATATTTTTTTTAAAATTTTTTTCCTTCAATTACATGTGAACAAAAAATTTTAACATTTTTAAGTTCCAAATTCTGTCCCTGTCTTCCTCCCTCCCCTCTGCCCGATTTGAGAATTGTAGCCATATCTAAATGGCTCATTTTAAAGTCTTCCTCTGTATATAGTATAACCTAGTATCACCAGTTTAGAGCTGGATGAGATTGTAAAGGTCATCTCTTCCAATGCTTTCATCTTGCAAATTTAGAAGCTTTGCCCCAGAAATGTTAGGTAATTAAAAAATGACCACGTTGAATCCAGGTCCTCGAATTCCAAATCAATTGGTGATATTTCTATCTCTCATTAGGTATAAAATCAACCTAAATAGGAAGGGAAAAAATTATTTACTCACTTAGCATCCATTTAAAAGTTAGGTGCAAAATACTATCCTGAGTACTAGTAGATACAGAAATAATTAAGATGTAGCCTCTGCCTGACTAGAAGCTAATTTGAAACCCTTCTCCCATTAAGTAATGCAGTAACATAATGTATTAAAATCCAGACATAAAAAAATAGTTATTTGTAAAACTCTGAACATCC